AGACGCTGCCAGAAACGGTTCACTGGCATGGAAAATGACAAGGCAGCACCAGCAGCAGCAGCTTCCCTCTGCTCCACCTCCTTGCCAGACTCCCTGGGGTACTTTTGACATGGGCGCTGCTCTTTCATTTCTATCTTTTTTTTTTTTCTATTGATTTTCCTCAGGGTGACTTTGATTTAATTATTGTCAGCATCTTTTGAACTTCATATGCGACACCTATGCCTACATCTCTGAAAACCATTATTCTCCCTCTTTGTGTGTCAGCTAATAAATAAATATATATTTGGAGCGATTATGTGGCTTAACAATGCGTAATTCCAATTGATGTGTGCCGCCGGTGCTGCGATTACAAAACTCGTTTCCTGTATATTTTGTGATTGAATATTCGTGAATCGTTGTGGCCGTTTTCAGGTTTCTTGAACTTGTCTCTCAATATTTATTTGCCAACTTTGCCCCAAAAGTATCGAAAGTATCTATTGTTATTGTTTCGTCTCTTGAAAGCTGACAGGCACGGCACTCTTGAAGTGCCGTTACAATTATAAATACCCCCCGGGGGCTGGGCTCTCTTAAGTGTGTCGCCCCATTTTCTGATTGTTCATAGCGAAATAACTTGAAAAATTCTTTATCAAGATTTTGCGTAATGCAATAATTTTAACGCTGCCATTGTCAGAGCTTACGTTTGTATACCCTGCTCTTTAAACAGTTCAAAGGGAGTGTTTAGGAACTATAAACTAATAGACTTCTATCCATAATAGTTTAACAAATCCTCAACTTTATCTATAACTCGTATTTTAAACTGGCTGCACTTTCGTTGACAAAAAAGCTTTTTTAATATCTTGAATTCATGTATTTCTGATATTTTAATTATTTAAATATATTTTTCGTCTAAATCTAAATATTTAGATAAAAAAAAGGGGTCAGCAAACAATAAAATATTTATGCTTAATAATGTTAAAAACAAATGTTTTCGCCATGATATATTTATCTACTCTAGGGTATCTACAAGTCCAGCTACTTTTCTATTTGTTGATTTTTATCGATTTTGGTTTGTGGCAACAACACGGGCAGCGACGGCAGTTGAGGCTCAAGTCGAGTTGCTCAAGAATCACGTACGCGAACGCGGACATGCCCCAACGCCCACAAAATGGCTGGCGACTCCAGAAAGTTGGGGCAAGTCATCATGCTGTGGCTTAAATAAGCAGAGCTGTGCTTTAGCCATGGCTAAAAGTAGTCGCTGCAAGTCGGGTCGAGTCGAATAGAGTCGCGTTGGGTGCTGGTGCTGGTGCAGGTTGACTGTCAGGTGCAAAACTGTAGCCCCAAATGTCACGTGCTGTGTCGTGGGGTGAAAGTCTTTCGTCATGTGTCCATCCAGCTGTGTGGACTGGTTCAGCTGTCGACTTTGTGTGTGGTTCATCAGCATGAACTAGTTCATTCAAATTACAAATTTGTTGCGATTTCTAGCGCTCCAATTGGCTCATCCATGCTTTGCAGTGCTTCCCCGATAATTAAGCAATTAACTTTCGACCAAAAACTTGTCGGCCAATTTCCAAATACATTGCACCACCTCACTACTGGCCACCACACTGATGATGGAGCAAAGCCACCCACAAAATGTTATCCAAACTTTTTTTTGCGTGTCAAGACGTCTCAAGTTGCTCACAAGTCAAATTATATACATTTATATTAAATACAAAAAGGAAATAACAATTGACAGACAGCTGAACCAAAAGATACCACGTAGAGGCAGTCTGCGTCTGTTATTATAAATATACTCTCTACCACAAAACTTAAGAATAGTATTTCTACTCTATTAAAATATATTTAAATGTCGAGCATTGTTTGTAGAAAATTGGTTCTAGTTGTGTGAAAGTTATTAGAAAAAGGAAAGTGTGTGTTCTGTGGTAAATGCCATTTTTTGTGTCGATTGCTGACTTAAAAATGACCCAAAAGTTATATTTTAATTAAATTGTTGTTCTGCAGATAAGACCATGAACAAAACAGCTTTTGAAAATCATTTCTGTTTTAACAGAATGAACAGAATATGCCAGAGCACAATTATCACATAAAGTTCGGCCAAAAATCGTGTTTGCAAAACTTAATGGGTCGACTACTGGTGCTGATCGCAGCAATGATTACAGGGCAGCATTGATTAGAGGGTATAACAGCCAATGCAAAAAGAAGTAAACACGCATAAATTGAATATTGATGAATGATCTGGCCTGGTCAGCTGTTGGTTCTTGTCATCATCATCATCAACGTTGTTGCTGTTGCTGGTTTTTTTTTTTTGTTGGTTTGTTAACCAGTTTTTTATTTTGACTATCTCGCGATTTGCATATAAATAAGCAAGAAATTGCCATTGAAATTGAAGAATACACACACAGTGCTGGCAAAATTCTTGTGATGAGATGAGAGCTGCTAAAAGAGTTGGCTGACTGGCTGACCAACTGACTGATTCTGTAAACTGGGCTAACTGTCTGGCGTTTTGGTTTTTGAGGTCGACTAACTGGCAGCAAACGAAATGAAGATGAAGATCAAACTAAAATTGCGAGGAATTCAGTTAGATGGATAGATAGATACATAGAGAGATTTAGAGGCACATTCTCTGCGTCACATTATTCAAAATTGTTGTCAAGCTAATGCGAGGCATAAATCAAATGTGAGTGAGAGAGATGGGGAAGTAATATACAGCCTAATCTCTGCCGAGTAATTAAGTAAAAATAGACCCAGGGCTAAAAAGTGTTGGAAAATGGATAATGGGGCAAGGGGCAAGGGGCAAGAGACAAGGGCAGGGGCAGGGGCAGTGACAGGGTGCTTGGGCGGCGGAAGTGTTTATGTGTCGTTGTGTGTAGGCGGCAGCTAAAACAAAATGAAAATAAATGAAAATCCCTTTTGATTGTCAAGTTCAGAAGCGAGGGGCAAGGAAATGCGGAAGACTTGCATTGCTGCAGAGCCCTCAAGCTCTCTTGGAAAAAAAAACAACAACTAAACAAAAATACAAAATGAAAATTATTTTTCTTTACAAATGCGCCCACGCCACGCCCACAGGCGAGAAATGGAGAAGCATTGTTTAAGATTTCCAAGGGTACGGGGCTAGGCGGGGATCTTTGATATATATATGTATATATCTCCACCAGAGACACGAACAGCCTTTAGTCAGGTATCAATTACAAGTATCTAATGCGAAAATAACAAGCAAAGAACTACAAAAAAAACAATGAGGCAAAACGAGCAAAGCAAAATATAAGAAAAGCATAACCAGCTCAGAAAAATAAAACAAAATTCAAAGAAAAGCTCCAAAGCAAGGGAGAGGGAAAGGGGGCTGGGTGGGGTGTATAAAGAGGGGGCGTAAAAGATACTCGTACAAAATGAAGCGCAGCGCAATTCCTGACAGCTTGTGGCAGGTGCTGGCGAAGGGCAAGAAGTAAATAAGTCGCAACGAAAGAAACACAAATAGAGAGAGAGAGAGAGAGAGAGAGAGAGAGAGAGAGGGAAAGAGAGGGAGGGTGGAAGTGACACAGGCGAAAACAAATTTCAGTTAAAAATTTATCTAAAAGAGCTGAAGCCGGCAACAGCCAGAGAATGGACAGCAATAAATGGATTATAATGGAAGACATAGTCATAAACGGCTTAAAAAGCTTGTGCGATGTGTTTGTCAAAAATAAAAAAATTAAAAAAAACCACAACAAAAAAAAAACATACAACAAACTTCAGCTATTGTTGTGGACAGGCATTTACTACATCTAAACAATTCAGATGGAGTACAAAGATTGGAATTTATGATTTATAGCGCAAACTTTGAGTTGGAATCTAAAATTGGGCAAGTTTACGAGTGAAATTCGAATATGTTTTGAATGTGTTGAAAATAATGTACTAATAAAGATTTTATGGAAAAACGCTTGAGAAATGGTTTTCTTTAGATGAAAGGCAAAGATTATCCAAAGTATAAAGGGCGAGAGGTTTCGAGGGTAAATTGAGCGAGATAATAAATAAATCAAGGAAAAATAACAAGTGAAAATACAGAAAAATCGAAAACATCTAATAAAGACTTCAATTAAGTCTGAAGTGCGCTTAAGAATTAAGATAAAAACTCTTGTAGTATACATATATCTGTTTACTCGGGATTGAATATACCTTGCTATAATATGGATCATCTACAAGGTCAAGATCGGTTAAAAAAAACAGAAAAGAGATATTTTTCTCATATCTACCAAATTGCACAGCAGCAAGCACGAACAAGTACTTGTGTAGAGGCTAATCATCTTGTCGAGCTCTCCCAGCCTATCCCATCCTAGTCATTGAGCAACACAAGTGTTACAATAACTAATACGCAATCAAGTAAAGTCTACGAGCTCATCACGCAATTCTGTCTCAGCTCTGTCTGCAGACAATTCTAAAATGTCGTGAAAGAATTCACTTAAATTCCGACAGTAAAAAACCCCATAAGCCATCTGTCGAAACCAGTGGCGTCACAGCCTGCTTACAACGCGTAGATGGCAGTTCGTTAGTGCCTCCAACTGCCCGCTTGCCCCGCTGTAAACAATATGTAGTCAGCTGTGCTGCATTATTAAATTTCATGTTGTAGAGTTAGCAAAGAAATTGGCAACAAAAATGATACAACTTGCAGTGAAATTTATTTGGGAAGCGATGCGCTGAAGCAGGCAACAACTGCAACTTGCAGCTTGGTGGCAACTTGGCGTTGCAATGCACTCATTATGATGACAACCATGACAAGGAATGAAGCTGAGGGAAAGAGAGTGAAGGAAGAGAGAGGCTGAGACAGACAACTAGAGAAAGCGCTCTCTTTTTTTCTGTTTTTTTTTTTGTTTTTTGCATCTCATCAAAAAGGCATCCATCATGCAATTTGTCAAAGTTGCCCCGCCACCAAATTGGCCAAGCTAGCGGAAATGCAATGCCCTCTTAATGGCCCCACAACAAGCTGTCAATACACACATTTATGTGTGTGTGTGTATATGGTGTGTATGTATTTTGTTTACACCTACCCGGCTGGTGAGGATCCCTGGCTGAAGCATTTGCCAGCTGCGACCGCAGCCGCTGTGTGAATGTGTCGCTGCGGTGGCGTCGGCTGATGATGCGGCGACGATGTTGCCGAAACGGTTGGGGTACTCTTCGAGGAGGAGGAGCTGCCACCACCACCACCACCACCACCACTGCCACCACCCCCACTGCCACCCGCTGCGATGGCTACTTTGCGCTTGGGTGACAGCTCCTGGGCAGCAGCAGCCGCAGCGACAGACGCATTCTCGCAAACGTTGTTGTCCGTGTTGACGACCTGCTCCAGCATATGTATTTTCAGCATTGTTATCGTTTGTAGTTGTTTTTGTTGATACTGATTGATTGATTGATGGATTGACTGCTTGACGTTGGCGCTGATTGCTCGCTTTGATGCGTTCTGTTTTTGTTTGTGCTTGGATTTTGTTGTTTTGTTTTTTGGTTTTGGTTTTATTTGGTTTAAATTATTTGGATGCGTTTTGTTTTGGTTGCTTTTGGTTTACGCTTTTTTTGTGTATGTTTTTTTTTTGTTTTTTGTTTTTTAATTATTATTCACTTTGAAAATCTTTTACGGCGTGTGCTGGTTGAGGGTAGTCAAGAGGATGAGTGAATTAAAATTTCATTGCAGCCCGACTTAAAAGCTAATGCAATCAATTTGCGTGCACTTCCGGAACAATAGCTGTTTGATTAAATTTTAACAGGCACTTGAGTCAAAGTACATGATTAGATACCCTGTAGCCATATAAATGGTTAGGTAGGGTAAGCGAAGCGTTGCAAAAAAATATGTAAGCTAACATACTAAATTGGGAGAGATACTGTAAAATATGTCTATAGTTGTTCGTGATTTCCATAAAAAGATATATCCATTCAGAGACTTAACTAACTCAAAGCTACCTATTCGAAATATAAATAATATATATGTATAATATATATGTTAATCTATATGAATATGAATATGGAATTTATGTAGTTTGTGGTTACCAAACACTCCTTGCTAATTTTAGTTATGAAATCGAGAGAAAAGACATTGGGAAGTTTGGGGTTACATTCTATATGGTATTCTATATGATATATATATATATTCTGTATGGTATATTATTGAAACAGTGAAGCTTCTAATGATGTGATAGCTAATGGGGACAAGTTCTCTCAAAGGTCCGATATAAACTCAAGCTTTATAACTTTGAACCTCCAGGTAACTCCTTATGTGTAAAATATATTTTAACTTCTACAAGGTATATCTAAAATAGCTGTTAGCTTCATACTTATCAATGACCTTATTTCAGGTACTTTACAACCAGCTGGTTACATCTAGAAACATGAAGGGCTTCTAAGTGCATAGTTACAACTAGCTTCCTGGTAATTCCTATGCAGATGGTAACAACCTCGTCGAATCCTCTCAACTAGAACAGGTTTACTGCTAACGTTACAATTCATTTTACGATGCGGCAACTGGCCGCAAAAAACAAATACAAAAACAAAAACAAATCCAATTTCAGCAGTGGCTTAACACGCCGTACAGCTGTTTAAGAAGTTGGCCCGAAAGCGATAAAGACTGGCCGGGGCAAATGCAGAAATATGGTTAAAGATGGAAATTTAATAACTGACAGCAGAGAAGTCAACTTTATGGGCGCTCGTAAAACTTCATCAAATGGGATTTTGAAAAAAAAAACAAAAAAAAAACAAAAACAAAGCAAAGCAAAAAAAATCACTCAGGCCCAAAATGAAGTGCTGGGCATATTAAGAAGTAATGCTGAAAAAGCCATTGGCAACGCTTTACATTACTTTCTTTTCCTTTTAACCAAGAGCAAGCCCAACGAAGCGAGGCAAAGCGCGTGAAAATGCGTGCAATATGAAAAGGCAATGACAGCAGACAGAGCAGACAGAGCAGACAGACAGACAGACAGAGCAGACAACAAACACTAAATAAAGAAAGCGAGAAGAAAAAGCACATATGGCAGAGGCTTCACGCTCCACACTCCCACCAACCCCCAAAACAAAACGTGGCATGAACAAAACCGTCGTCATAAAAACCACTCGAGGCAGCTAAGAGAAGAAATATATAAAAAAAAAAAACGTTGACTTGAACCTGCCCCACTGACAATTGGCTTAAGTCTCGGGAGGGTTGTCCAACGGGGCAGTAGCCGTAGTAAGCAGCAGTTGGGGTAGCTAAAAGGTAGTGGCTGCCGGCACGTGTCCAAGTGCCGCAAAGATGATGATTTATGCAGCATGGCATTGACTGAAGGCATGTGGCAACTGTGGCTAAGCTTTGCTTGCCTTGGTGGTCAGGTGCTGCAAGCCAAAATGCGTTCATTACTGCGCATTAACTTTTTGATCATGGCCGAGTCCAGTTAAATGCGTACTTAAACAGTTGCCAGTTAACCTGAAGAACTGAAAACGCAATTAAAATTCATGGCTAGATTCAGAAAAGTTGTACAAATGACAATGCGATTTGATTATGTTCGAAATTAGCGTTAGCACTTCACTTGATTACTTGGCCAACAAGTCGAGTAGAAGAAGAAGCAAAAGCAGAAGCAGTCTGTAATTAATCTCAGTGTCCTCAAGTGCCGCAGATAATTAGACAATTGAACTAATTCGAAGTACTTTCTGTTTTCGTGTACACATTCAATGAGTTTATTTAAATTTTTCCAATTATGCTTAAGGTATTTTCTCAATTTATTTCAGGTCTTTCTTTTTTCCCTAAACATTTCTTATAGATTCTTGGTCCGTTTGGAGTTCTCCCAATCCAATAAATATTTGACATTTTTTACATTTGAATATTCCTATATTTAATTATTCTATAATTTACTTTATTTTATTCTTCTAGTTTTAGATTATATTGAATAGAGCTTGCAGGGATTTTCCAGAAAATTTCCTCAAGTCTAAACCTCCATTTCAATTCCACTTTTCCTCTGATTACTTTTCAATTCTTCCTTTCGTATGACGCCCCCTCTGATCTATCATGTAATTTATAATGTCATCTCACTCTCGATATCTACGGATCTTACATAATTCATCATTAAACCAATGCCAGTTAGCCTGGCCCAAATCGATAAACCTCCTTTCGCCCATCGCGTCACACTTTTAGATTTCGCAGCAAATCGCTAGGAAATGGACTTTCATAATGAAATTGCCAAAACATGAAAATCATTCGACTCGAATCGAATTAAGGGCAATGGCTTATTTTTATATATCTCTCAATTATATATTTGTATCTTTTTTTTTGTTGCTGTTGTTGCTGCTGCTGCTGTGGCGGCTTGTAACACGCAACTTCCGCTGCAAATTCGTCTTTTCCGCATTACACAAAACCCATCAACAACAATTCGCATAATTCACGCTCAGGTGAGAATGATATAAAAAAAAATAAATATATATAAAACAAAAACGCATATAATTCCGTTGCGCAGAAAACAATTTATTTATCACACACATAAATGTATAAATGAGCCCCCAAACACAACAAATGTGCTATGCAAAAAAAATTATATATATATTTATAGTACAAAAAAAAAGAAATCAGCCATTATGTGCGACATTTTTATTGTTGTGGTTCTCGGTAACTGACTTCGGCTAAATGCAATACAAACGCATATAGAATAATTTATTTAAATCAGCATCCAACCGCCCCCATCAACCCAAACCCGAACCAGAATCGGAATCAGAATCAACGACAACAACTTTGACGACCTTTTATGGTGGCATGCAAAATGTATAACAATTTATAACGATAAATGCACAATTTGAACACACTTGCTCCAAAGAAATCAGAGGGATGGGGGACACACACAGTGTGTGTGTGTGTGTGTGTATGTGTGTGTGAATGTGTGTGTGAATGTGGGTTGAGTGCTCAACTAATTGTGGTTGAGGGCAAATAAATATTACGAGATTGGCATATTTTTTTATTGGCGTATTTTGCTTGGATTCAATTGAAGTGCTGAGGATTTTAAGTGGTGTTAATCGAAAATATTAAATACGCAGAAAATCAAGAATTAAACAACTTGACACATGGGCAAATCATAAAGCAAATGCATTGATAAAGCTTGAGACCACTTTATGTGGAAAATAATGTTTAAAGGCCTTGCAAATTTGAAGAGGAACACAATAAGATTCTCTAGTCGAGAGAACTCTAGTATGAAATACCAGGAACACAGCGTTTTTCGAATTTTCAAAATTTAAGAGAATTTTTAGAGCATTAAGATTTATGCCATACAAAAAATAAATAACCATAAGAATACTCTAGTCGGGAGAGCTCGCTTAAGAGAGCCAAGTAATATAGAGATACTATTGAGGTATATCTACATATAGTCTGAAAACTGAAATTAATTTTTTCTATGTGAATTTACGTTTTGGTAAACAGAATTTGTGTTTCCTATCTGAATGTAATGAAATTGCACAGTTCATTAATAATGGAACCAATTATATTATGTACCAATTAAAAGGTTTTAGCATTACAGTTGGACTCTAGTTTTTATAGTATCTGAGATCAGCTTGTTTATACAGACGAACTAAATCGACTCAGCTTTCGATGCTGAATATGAATATATATATCTATATATATATATATACTTTAAGGGGTCAAAGTTTCATCCCATTACCTGTTATATGCTTTTACATAACTTTATTCGCAATGGTTTCAGCATATAATTATTGCTAACTTAATTTAATGGAATGTGCTGCTCACAAATCAACTCTGAACCCACATATTGAATGAATAATGAGCTGCCAACAGCCAAGTTTTCAAGGTTGCTTATTTGCCACAATCATTGATGCATTGGCCTGCAAATTGGAGCTGATAAGATTAGATAAGAGCACAGACGCTCCAGAGACGAACAATTTGTTTTTTTTTTTTTCAAACGTCAGATAAATTTACAAAAATTCCACAACTGAGCCATGTTAAGAGCCTCGCATTGTTGTTGTTATTGTTGGTTTTGTTGTTGTTTGTTGGCATTGTCGGTTTTGTTTTGGCAACTGGCAACAGCTGCTGTTCTTGTCTGCTGCCTGCTGTCTGCTTGTGGCAAACAGGCGTTGGACAAACATTGAGCGAGCTAGAAACCAAACCAAAAAGAAACCAAACGAAAACTGAGCAGCTCAAGCCAAAGTGTGGAAGCAACTGAATCGAGTCCAAATTGTTATAAATTGTTTACAGCATTTGTCAAGGCATAAATATTTAAACACGTGTGAACGACGCAACAGTCGAAGAAAAACAGGAACACAGAAACAAACATGAAACAAAATTCAAAAATATTTCGTCGGTGGGGGGAAGGGGAGTCTTTGCGGAAATGAGAACCCAACAAGTTCCGGATAGCAGTCAATAAAAAAAAGTTGGCCAACAAGTAAAAGCTTCCACATCTACAAAGTCAGATATCACAAATATATTTTAGTTTTGTTCAAACACATGTATATAGTATCAGTATCATAAAACAGAGTCCACTCCTCGATCGGGTTTG